GCTGCCCACATCCAGTTCGCGGGAGGGCGAGAGCTAGCGCGCGGGGCGAGCCTGTCCCTTGGGTGCTCGCCGGGCAGTTCCTCGCGGCCCCACCAAGTCCCCCTACTCGCGCTCTGACCCCTTTCACTACAAAAAGCGCGAGGAAATCGCCGCCCACCCCACCGTCCGTACGGCTCCTTCGGCGCCCCCCGGGTCGCCCGAGCTATCGGAGAGGGCAAGCGCGCCCAGTCGCCGCTGCGGGGTCCAAGGGTGCCCGGAGGGTCTCAGCGCTGCCGAGCCGGGGGAGCTGCCGTCGCCGCTGCTGCTCCCGCGGCGGCCGCTGGCAGTGGCGGCTCCCGAAGCTGCTGTTCGCACTGCTGAAACTCTGGCTGCTCGGTGCGGGATTCTGTTTTCTTACACCCCTCGCCGATCCGCTGGACCATTCTGCCCCGGTGCGGCACGCCTCTCTAGCTCTTGGGACCCGGGGACTGCGCTCTGTGTGTGTGCAGCGGGCAGCGGCCGCAGCAGCCCCTTGATTCAATAGATGAGATGAAAGAAGAAAAAAAAGAACTCTCTCCATTTGGAGAAAGAGGAGGAGGGGAGGGGGTGGAGGGGGAGAGAGCTAGCGAAAGAGAAAAAGGCTGGAGCTCCCGCCCCCAGGGCTGTCAGATGGCTAGGGTTTCTGCAATGGGATTGGCTCGCGGAGGGCAGAAATTACTCAGCAAACATGACTATTATTAGCTGCTTAGCAACAGCTCACCAAAGTAGAGAGACCACCCAGGTAGGCAACCCCAGTGTGTGCAACCCCAGCTTGGGGGGAGCCTCCGAGAGCGCCAACCCTCTCTCATGCAATCCTTCCATTAAGGAATGCTCCCCCCTCCGCCCTTTCTTTCTTATGCCTTTTTACTTTTCAACAGTGTCGTCTTTTTGTGAGACGCCTTTTGCGCGCACCCACGCACCCACAGACCCTCACACAAGAGCATTTGCTTCACGATAGACATGGAAAAATGTAATATTTTTTTTAAGCGCTTAAACAATTTCTGAAATTCCTCAAAGAAAACCCTTTCAGAGGCGCCTTGGCTTCAAGCTGCAGCAAATACTGGGAGGTCCGGCTTGAATTCCCAGGCCTGCACCAATAATGACAGGGTGGTGGATAGTGCGCCAGTGTGTGCCAGGTTTTTTTTTTTTTTCCCTTCTCTTTTCTTTTATAACTAAAGAGAAGACTTAGCTCTCGCAGGGAACAACGCGTCGCATTAATATAAACAAAATAGAGTTAAAGAGGTAAGCAAGGGCCTAGGGAAAAACCACCCCCTTTTAAAATTCTGACCCCCCCCCCAAAAAAAAAACAGACCGCACAACCAGTTTGAAGGAGTCGGTTCTATGAATGTGGAATCCAGACACCAAAGTAAGCTCGTGGAGGCGTAGTGTTTTTCATTTTAATCTTAAATGCGACATAAGCAAAGAAACCCAATCTTTTTTTAACAGCCCAGAGAAGCAGCCTTGTTTCCTCGAGGAAGAGAAGTTTTCTAGCTTGTTACCCTAGAATGCGTTTTTTAAAAAATTAACCTCATATCCGTATTGATTTAAAGTCAGTTTTAACGAATTCTTACAAAACCCGGTACGCATCCTGTTACATCGAATGATAGCGAAACGCAAGGGAGAATAAAGGCTTTGATGTTGGATTCATCGGAAACAAACGGAGGGCTGTACTAGAGCAGGACTTGTCCCCACGCTGTGGCCAGCATCACCAAGGCATCCCGCGGCTTCCCTTCCCGTTGGGGAAGAAAACCGGGGCCCTTCAGGGTGGATGAATTATACTGTCTATAGTTTTGAGAGTGGAATTTTTCTTACGTTTGCAAGTTATTAAACTCCTCCCTGCGGTAGGAACCAGACCCACAAACCCGCGAATCAGTCTTATTTAAATACTTATACCTTTTCGTCTCTTTTTTTAACGGAATTGAATTGCAAAAGAACCCGTGGCAAGGAGGAACCAATGGGGGCCGGCATCAGAAGCAGTGTACCTTTAAGATGCACTTGGTGTGTGTTCATTGAAAAAAAAAAGAAGAAAGAAAGGAAAGAAAGAAACCCAGAGGGAGGGACGGGGGTGGGGTGGAGGTGGAGCCCGCGCGACCACGTGACCCGGGGCCGCGCCAGGCGCACTCCGAAGCCTGTGCGCGAGCGCGTGTCCGGTGCGCTCGGGTACGCGCGCGTCTGGCTACGGACTCCCCCCTCGCGCGCGGCCAGGCCCAGCAGGTAGGAAGGGAGATGAAGAGAGCCGAGCACACTAGCTGACTCCGCACCTTCAGAGGGGGCCTTCTGGAGGCCGGGGAAGGCGCACTACCGGCGGGCGCGGACGGACGTGCCGGTCGCGCCGTAGTACATTCCTGAAGGCGGTCCGGCCCCCTGACGTTGCCCAATGTCCACGCGGCCTCTCCGCAACTGGCCAATGGCTGCACGCACGGGTTCTTTTTCCCATTCACCGCCCTGCGTCCGCGGTCCCGACCCGCGCCCGGCTTCGGCGGGCTAGGAGGCCACCGCGGCGACTCTGGCTGGGGGGCTCGTCCAGCAACTCCCTCCGCCCCTTTTCCTCCTCCCTCGGCCAGACGTACTCTCCTCCCAGCTTCCTTCCTTCAGCCCTTTCCCTTCTCCTTCCTCCCCAGCCCCATTCTCCCCGCTAGTCTTTCACCGTCCTTCCCAGCCTAGCCACCGTCCCTACAGCGTTTACTCTTTACTGGTTTCCCTGGGAGGCCCTGCCCCCTGGATCCCGAGCCAGCAAAATGTTTGCCGTACCCGAAGCGGGTTAGGGTGTCCTGAACTGTAAAGAGAGACAAAGCGAGTAGAAGTGTCTGAGGATGCTCACGGCATCAGGAGGAGGACTTGAGTACCGAGCCAGCGCGGAAATTCAAAACCCAGATAACTCGGAAAGAGCACGTGATTTGATTTGCCGTCTCTGGGAAGGACTGCAAAAACCCAGGAAGGAAGACAAGCACCGTGAAATGTAATTGCGCTATGTTAGTAAACAGCATCTCAGGGAGGCTGGGCTGGACACATAGCCACATTTATTCTTTCCTCAAAATCCTGCTCCTTATCATGTTGGTTAGTGCACAAAGCCGGAAGAGTGATTTAATATTCTAGCAAACTGAATGGCTCTGCAGACAGTAACAACTAGCCCATTTCCTCCTTGCTGTTGGAAATCACCTTTTAGAGTTTTGGGTGATTATGGCAGACCAGAATGAAGTTAAAGGCTATGTGCAAATAATGGCTATATATCCATCCTTCTTGTTCTGGCTGCTGTTACCTGTGCACCATCTTTATGGCAAAGCGTCTTCCACTGGGCCTCATTTCCCTCAGTTTGACTTAATTCCTGAACATTTTGAACGTTGATCCCCCAAAATCAATGAGTGTCCTCAGCCCCATCCCCCGCTGTTTGATGTTTTTTTTTTCAGCATCTCACACAATAGTCAGGCCTGCAAATTCTACTCATGGGTTCCAGAATGCATCCCAAACCTGGCTCTAACAAACGCTATTTTAATCTCCCCATCCCCCTGCCTGTGCTTCGCCTGTGGTCTGCTTTTTTCATACACAGAGAAGAATTACTTTGAGGAGCTAATTGGCCTTGTTTCTGTAACATTTTAAGAAAGGGAAGAGGAGCCAGTGTAAAGCCTGCTCGACTTGGGTGGTCAGGGCTGAGGCTGCCCCCAATTTGCCTCATTGCTGATGCTAGCGAGTGGGACATTCCCAGCAATAATGTTGTTCCTAATCAATCTGCCCTTATTTACATTTGTAAGCATTGTTGGGTTTAATATGCATGCCCTGTGCAGGGGACCACTGCGCCACACCGGGTTTGTTAACTTCAACTAACCACAAGGATCCCACAAACCTGATATAGGCTGATTGGCAGAGCCAGGCCTGCTAAGGTGTCCGCTGGGAAGAGAGTCCCTTTAATAACTTGCTCCCCAGGTAAGCAGTCCCAAATAAGTGAGAGCTGTAAGCCTTTTCAACCAGCAGGAGTTGCTAGGCTGCATGAAGCAAGAGTCGATTTTTCCATGGCCCCTTAACCTGTCAAAGTTTGTCTCCCTGCAATATTTGCCTTCCCCCCACTAGTCTTGATCCAAGTTGTCATGAGAGATTCCTTAAACTGTCTTCCCATCTTTGTTCAAATACCCATGGTCACACCACTCACATCACCAATATGACATCTGATTATCCAAATGATAAGATGACACTGAAATAAAACATGTGCCCTTTGCGTTGCAAATTCCAATGATAAGTGCTTGGGGGAAACCAGACATGGTGAGGCTTTGAAAAACCACAGGAAAATTAACTTTTCCTTGACTTCTCAGACCAAATTAAATGAATCTAGAAGATCAAAGGTAATGTAGCACATTTTTACAGTGTAAACAAGTTGGAGAGGAGAATGTAGTTGTCATTAGACCTTTGGGCCATTGTACAATGTCTACAGAGTTTATTACTCTCTTCTGGATGATGGCAACATGTGTACAAATATGCTTGACACAATGGATGTATGGAATTTTAACATTCTGTA